CTTCTTTTTTAACAAAAGGTTTATTTTCAATCATGTTGAAGTTATCACCTAAATTTATATTAGTATCCAAAATAGACATAGGCGGCACGGTTAAATCACTAGGCAAGTAGCTTGTTACATCTGAAATCGAAGTAAATCATTCACATAAAATTTACTCAATAACAACAAATATGAATAAAAATTATCTTAATATCAATTTCTGACAGATTTTATTGTAATCTTTAAAATTAATTTTTATATTTACCTGTCTCTGTGACTTTTGGTAAATTAAAGGGTTCTTGTGTTAAAGTTTTACTTTTATTTAAATCACTATTGAAATAGTAAGGGTTTGTTCTATTATCAGGCAGTAGAAGTTCTGTTAAACTATTAAACATAACCTGAAATTGAAAAAGATTATATCAAAGTCAAAGATTATAAGACTATTGATTAAGTGCCCAGTCGTGATCATGTTGTCAAATATATGATTCACATTTCTTGCTTCTTTAACTTTCTAATATTATAATAAGTTTTATGAATAAACCATGTTCTTATTTTTTTTTTATTATAAATACAGTCAAAATCTGTTATAACGACATCGAAGGGACTGCTCATATTCAGTCGTAAAAACCGATAGTCGTAACAACCGGTGATGCTTAATGTGTATCGTGCAATTACAAACAAATCGATAGGGAATTATTGGAAAAATATATTTATTCAACTATGCACATTTTGTTTATTACACATAAGTATAAATTTTTTTCGCGCTCTTTCCAAATGTTTGAATTTGTCGAGTGTAATACACCATATTCCTTTGCTAAGTCTTTGTTTGAAATTCCGCTCTCTAGCTTGGATATAATACACGATTTTTCTTCAATATTAATTTGTTTTCTTATTCTTTGCGACATTTTGAAAGTTTCACGAATAACTCCACAAAGTTTTGGTGCGCCTTGTGTATAGATAAGTACAAACTAACTGAAGAGATATGAAGAAGCGGACTTTGACTCTACTGCATGCAGGTGTTTTGTTTCTAAGAATTAGAAAAGACCCTACACTAAACTAAATCCTATTATCCTATTTAATCCTACACTAAAATAATCCATTTCCTGATTTTAATAGCCATTGAAGACAAATGTGGATACCTATTCAAATTGTTTACAATACAGCTTAGCCGGTCGTTCTAACAGATCGAATTCTCCAAAATATTAGTTAAATGTGGTCGTTTTATGAGGTATGTCGTTATTAGCAATGTCGTATAAAGCAATGTTTTTAATAAGGCGGTCATATAACATTCAGCCGGGACCTTTGTTCTAGGTTATTATAACCGGCATGTTGTTCTAAATGATGTCGCAGTAAACGGTTTTGACTGTAATTATGTTAGCAATAAAAATACATCACAAGTCTTGCTGTTAACTAACCTGGTTTGGTTCACTTTTAACAACAGTAGATGTTACAGCTGGTGTTGGAACATTGGCAGATGGAGGTGGTAAGTTTAGGTTAGGTCTCTGATTAATAGTAACTTTTTTGTCCATCCGATTTAACTTTGTCCGTAGCTGAAAATAATCATAAACACAAAAACAATTTGTTAATAATCTCCTATACTTTTCAGAACATGTAACATGCATAAAATTATGTAATAACGCAATTTGCTGAGAAAAACTATAGAATATATATATTGTAGAGGCAGGTGAAACAAAACATCGCTTACATATAAAAAGAAAGGTAAGCAAATTCCTAAGTCTACAAATACACTTCGCAATGCTTAGCATTTGCAATTGACAAACATAACAACACATGCAAACTTTTTTCTCCTACAATAACTCTCCTAATAAAATCTATTTAACATTCCTTTATTTGTAATCTCATTCAATTAAGAAAAACATATATATGTGAAATTAAATGGAAAATGGATTCAAATCTATGCCTAAAAATACTTATTAATCAACAATTGCTACACTAATACAATTTTGTAATTTCTATTTATTTATATAATCAATAAATATAATTTCTTTGTGGTTTATGGTAAAACTGCCTCAATTTAACATTATGAGGGCTAATTTCAATTAACATTCGCTACGCCAAATCACTTTGCTTTCTACTTTATCCATTTAAGTTTTAGTGAATATATTTCATTCAAAAGCTTCATCTTTAAGATATTTCATTTCTTAGTTTATATGTACAACATAAATATTGTTCCAGAGTAGTGAGTCTGGCATTTAAAAGACAATTATTAATTCTTAACATAATTTCATAAATTGTTCAATATAAGTATTTCTTGTTTGTGGTCTGAATGCACCATTAGTTTCTGATTATAAGTTATCTTTATATTTAATTTTACATAATGCTGTTAACCTAATTAAACAACTCAGCAAAATTAGCATATTTAATGTGAACAAAATTGCTTCCATAATTATCTTTTTAAAGCATTATGAATGAATTTAAATTTCATTTATGATTTTATATTAATTTCAATCATTGTTTACTTCGTAATAAAAAACATAGGTAATTAATTATTATAATTTGGGATAAATTCTTACAGTTTATTTTAAAAATTCATTATCATTCTTAAACTTGTAGCAAATCATCTTCGTCTTTAAGTTATAGTTGAAACAGAATAATTGACCATGTCTTCCATAGGTGCATTGTACATTTAAATATCGTTTCCCAAAAACATAGCGATTAAAAATATATTGTGAGCCAAGCCTATTACTAAAACTAAATACCTCAAATTTTTTTTAACTTACTGTATCATTCTCTTGTCTTAGTGCTTGAAATTGTTTATCCCTTTTTGTAATTAAATCGTTTTGCTGTTGTATTAAATCCAAGTGAAAGAGAAGGAGGTCTTTTAATTTCTTGTTTTGATTTACAGCTTCTGTGAGTCTATCTGAGAGTTGGGTTACCTCTGTATTAGAAGCGACTACAAGGTCCTTTTCCTCGGAGACAACACAGTGAGTGGATATTTCCACTTCCTTATCAAGTGTTAGCGTTTGTCTTCTATCTGCGCTCTCAGAGTGACAAGCGTAAATATGATCGAAAGGAAAACTCAGCAACGACTCTTTTGTATCTAGTTGGTTTAAAGTCGACAAATCCGCCGAATAATTCACCAAATTTGTTTCATTTACACTACTGCGACTGTTCATTTTTATAGGAAGGCAATCGTAAGTCACTACGACTAGCCTACCGGCTGTCAAACACTAACTGACCGACACTACACTTTTGTTCGTCTCATTACATCTGTTGCAATCCGTAAATCAGCACTAAATGAAATATATAAATGTAATTACAATAGTCAACGGCATTACATTGTCAATAAAACGACGATTCTACGTGTTCCAATACTTCTATTCTGACATTTTCACGCACATGCAAAATGATAAAAGACGCATGATATTTAGGCAATAATTGGTTCGTCCCCAAAAATTGCAATCATTATACTCTCCGTGTGCAAACATTTGTAATCCAAATGATCTAGCTTTGAAATAATTTCTAATGAAATGAACATAACACTCAAGTTTCCGAGTAAATTAAACGAACATCAAGGTAAATCGTCAAATAGCAATAGCCAACCAACAAATAGCGTTGAGGCGTCTAACCATAGACAACTTTTTTTTTTCATCGCACAGTTGTCTAACTACATATTCCTACAAAAGAGGCCATTCTTAGTCGAATTAGTAAAATTTTCAGTTATTATTATTTAATTCTCCACATATGATAGATGTGTAACGTATTTTTGATTCACTTCCGAAAATAAAAATGCTTAATATAATATTAATTAGCATTCAGAAGGCCAAAATTTAAAGAGCTCTGGCATATATCTATTCATTGAATATAAAAGCAACATTCACACAGTACTTACCTGCTCCAACCAAAATTGAGTATTAATTAATAAAGTACTCTTTTAAAGAATTAGCTCGATTTTATTCCGTACCGAATTTTCAAAACGAGAACCACGCTAAAATAATACTGAAAGTTTTTATCAGACTTTCATAATGTTAAGATTTAACTGCTAAAAAAAATCCGGGTTGAATAATGTCATGATCAGAATTTTAATATCGTAGATTTACAAAATGTACTGTTACTCTAATATATTATCTTATCATAGTCTGAAAATAAAATAAAAATATATCTATAAAATACTTTGAGGTAGGTTCACGAGGGAGTTATAACAAATAGTTAATATAAATATCTGAACAGCTGATGCAAGCAACTTCAAGCAATTACAAGTCAGGAATCGCGGGTAATTCAAAACTCGAATCCGCGACCAATTTAAATTATCATTCTTGTAAACTAAATTAAGGTTCAAATATAAATAATCAATATCGGCTAAGATAAAATTGATACTAAGTATGTCTAAAAAATTACTAATTGGCTGTGGTCAGATTAAATTCATATTATTTAGGTATTTAATTGTATTGTTCGATCTTACTTAGTATCACGTATTTTTGTATTTATCAACATTAATGTATTTTCTTTCACTCGTTGCACTACTATCAATTGGTGAATTTAATACCTGGGTAATCTCTATCACTCATTAAAGATGTTGCAGAGAGATTCACAGGCAGGTGTGGTAATTTGATGGTCTTACCAGTGTCCTTAATGCCAGTTTTTTAGCTTCTCGATCGCGCAAAAGTTAAATCAAATTTAGATTATATAATCTGAATCTCGGAAACGGCTCCAACGATTTTCATAAAATTTTGTATACAAGGGATTTCGGGGGCGATCAATCGATCTAGCTACGATTTATTTTCAGAAAATGTTGTATTATTCGTGTTTTCAATAATCAACTTTATCGATAATCAACTTTATGACTCTTCCCGACATCTATTGGCGAATAATAATACTATTTTTCTTAACTGAGAGCAACTAACTGATTTAAAGACAAAACAAGATGGCGTTATCAAAAAAAAAACCGAGCAAAGCTCGGTCATCATCTAGTTTTAATTAATTACACATACAATATATTATTTATTGTAGACACTAATTTAAAATATATAAATGGGGATACATATACGATAAATATGTACTCGAAATAATGTTATTGTGGTTCTAATACAAAAATAAATGTTATTTATTTAAAAAATAGATACAGAAAATATATATTTAATTACAGTTTACATATTTATTTTTAGCTGCTCATTTTTATAAGATTATTAATATCAATCCAGAACGAATCTGTCTTCAAATAGGTATTCCTTGAACAAGTAGATTGCAAATCAATGATTTGTTATAGTATTTTTTTGTCGAATGATGCCAAGACACAGCGTCTGTTTAAAATTGGAACTGTGCCAAACGTTTCTATACATAACTTTAGCTTCCATGTATACCTATATTGCTCGTAGCTACCATGAAAATAAACATCTATGAATAAATTCACACGGTTTATACGCATTCGAGTTAACGTTTCAGATTCAGCACCTTTCATTCTCCTTTTCGAATCCTATTACTAGGTTGTACCCATTCTAATATTTTAAGAGATATATGATAAAGCAAACTGGCGCATCAATTTTGGATATCCTACCATCCGCCAACAGGTAGTATCTAATTAATAACTATTTCGTATTTATGTATTTACATCTATTAAGCTGTTAAATTTTGTTTTTATAAGGCGCAAAACACACCTCAAGTGGCGATGAAACGCCGCCTATTCCAGAAGAAGAATTGGAACAGCAGAAAATTGAACATGAACGGCAAGTTCAAAAGGTTCGTCGACGTTGTATTTTTTTTAAGTGCTGCATATTTTAGGACAAAGGCTAATTTGTTTAAAATACGCTAGGACAATCCCCAGCTAACAATATTAAAAATAATAGAAATCTATCAATAAATCATTACCTGTAGAGTTTCACAGTCGATGAGGTCATTGAATTTCATCAGTAAGGAAAAATAATAAATGTTTCTGTAATAAAACTTTCATGCTTGTCTCCAACGTTCATAGCTAAACAAATACACGGTTATAAATATTCATTGCCCACCTACTATTTCATAAAAGGAAGACTTAAGTAATTCAATTTTGTTACTGAGCCAAGTGTTTAAATTTTCAATTTTTTTTTAATTTTTTTTTTGACTGTAATTGAGCCTTTTTATTTAAGACTAAGAAACGAGATCAAGTCTCAACCAAAAAAAAAGTAATTTTATTATAATTCTTCGATATCCTAACCTTTCTTACCTTTCGTTGTAAATATTCACACAAAATGAAAAGACAAGCACAATTAGGCACAGAATGAGGTTTAGGGACATACAAACACATATGGACGAAAATAAAATAAATCACATTTATATAGCATCTATTTACATTTTATATACAAATCTGCAAGCCTTAAATTACTATTGAAAGTCAAGTGAAATCCTATAAAACAGAATTATTAGTTGCAAAATGAATTATAGTTTTAATTTCGTTAAGATCACGTAAAATAAATTTTCTGGTATCCTGGCATTCCTTGTTCAAAAATCATTAAATAGGTAGGTATTACAAATATGTTTTTACATTTAATTTGTATTTTTTTCAGGAAAAGGAATGCCAAGCTAGAGAAGCAGAAGAGGTCCGTAAACTCGACATGGAACTTCTGCACCAACGGGCCATTGAAGCGGAAGAGGAACAGAAAAGAGAGGTAGGGTCAAGCAACACAGATGGAAATGAAAATGGAAACACATATGGATAGATATTGTATTGGTTCAAACCCTCGTCGATCTCCTTAATTCGGCCATGACAGAGAGCTGAAAAAAGGCAATAAATCTAATGTCAATAATATAATCCAGTGCACATATGGTGGATCATTACTTAATTACTTTAAGTTATATCTGCGTAATATATTTTTGCGTTTAATAACGCTTTCGAAAAACCGTCTAATATTCGGATTCCCGAATGGCTATGGCCAATGTATTTTATGATATGGTCTTTCAAACCAGAACCAGACAGATGTTGCCGTTGTAGCGGAACGAATCTCCTTTTGGTTTCCTTGGCCTTTGAAGGCAATTGAAGAAAAAAACACAAAACTGATGAGAGATATAAGCTAGTTGTTAGCAGCTTGTTGGTAATCTCTCGACATTGTTAATGGCACTTGCTCCTTTGATCACACAATAAAAAACATTTGATAGGCACACTAATTGGTGGCAAAATCATCTTGAAAGACTATTAAATATCTTTTCCTCCATGTTATCCTCCATATTTAATGTCACGTTAATGGATTTTTGGTTTTTGTTTTTTTATTATGTAAAATAAATTTTTAAATTATAATAAAACTAATACCTACTTGGTTAAATACCAGTTTAGAATGAAGATATCACTCGATCCCTCTCTTAATAAATTTATTGTTCACGTTTCTTGCCTGTGTACATACTCGATCGCTTTGGTTTTCATTATGATCTGAGCGCATGCGACAATTTATGACGCGCGACCGTAAAAATCCATATGCATTGACGTGATGTTGCAGTTGCAACCGCCTGCAGCCACACCCAATGAATTTATTTTTTACCACAGATAGCTGAAGCTGTCGAAGACCTCCGAGGTATGAACACCTCTTGGTCCCATCACAGATTGTGTGACCTCCAGCGGCAAGCAGCAAGACTCCGTCACAGCCGACCCTCTATTCCTGATACCACTAATAATTACAGGGTAGAAGACATCGTTTGTGAAATCTGCGTTTTTTCCGCTATAAATTTTATACCTTTAAAATAATATTAACACAATGAGAAACTGCGATTATACTAAGTTCTAAACTAAACGAGTAACGGATGAATTAAATTATAATATTTGTTTGCCGCCGATCACTATCCCTTGAAGCAGGGCGATTTACTTACTGCGGTACATCGCCGTCACCTTGATATTATACTTCTAACAATTGCGTAGGTAGCTCTGATAATAAATCAATATCTTCAGTTCACGACACCAAACATTTATAGCCTCCATTATACTTATCATGATAGGAGATGATTGATTAGCAGTGTGTTTCATCTTAGAAGTAATTATGATCTCTCTAAAACATGCAAAAGACTGGAAGCCACAATTAACCACAATGTTTTTAATAAATTATATTTTGACGGCTTTCAGAGTGTCTTGAAAAAAGCATGTAGCGCACAATTTGCGAAACCACAGTCCAGTCAAAGCATTAGCGAAGGAGATGGTATATTCATCAATCTCTCTCGCCTAGGGCCCTGCCGAGGTATAGATTGCGACACTAATGTTTTCCAAATCTTTTTTTATTCCTAAAAAGTTATAACAATATATTTTTTCAGATCAATCAATAGATAGTGATTGTTGTGAGAATCCAGGTTGTACTGCTAGCACAGAAACACGCACGTGGAGAGCTTCTACTAGTGACGTAAATCCTCGCAGAAGAATAGATTTCGTGAGAGCTCCTTCATGTCCAGGGTAAGCTAACCGCCCTAAGAATACACTACTAGAATCGCTACGGAATATTTTTCACAAACATTTCGCCTTCTGTTTAGACCATATTGATTTTCAATCGTTACTTATTTACGATTTATAAGCATCAGGAATTGTTGCTTCAATTTTTCTTGGTTCAACTTTCAACAATGGTATCTAAGGTAAGGTTGGGTGATTATTGTTGTTGTTTCTTGTATACAAATAATAGGCAGACAAAAAAAATAACAGCATATACGAAAATGGGCTTCAATCATTCATGAGTTTTCTTCCAGAAAATAGTTTATTATAATCACTGTCATTATCATTAGTTCACACTTTATACCAGCCGTATTTTTTGGAATAGTGGTAAATAATAGACTAATACACACATTGTAATTTCTAATTGTATTCATCGTATTGTATGTTAAGATAAGTAAAAATACAAAGTTCATGAAAATTATACTTTTAATGGAATTCGCTATATTTAGAATCTGAGTCTGGTAATACTGAGCACTTATGAGATTCTCGGTATAGCACATCCGAACAGCGCATTAACTAATCCCCTATCCAGGACATCTAAGTGGACATAAAAATCGATCAGCTTGCACTGAATTGTGATGTAACAATTCAGATTACACTTATATGAAGAAATTATTTTCTAAAACGATATATACGAATAAACTATTACTGCCAAACGATTTTTTATAGAAAAAAAATGAATAATGGTATCGTGCTATTATTTTTTTTTAAATAAAAATTAAAAAAGACCTTGTTTTGAAATACCGTTTGTGTGTGAATCTAGAAATAGGTCAAACAAGTGACAGCAGGGCGCATGTGCATTTATCGCGCACCATCCTTGCGCAGTCCGCCCTTACTTCCCACACCCGCAATACAGTCTAATAACAACGTAATTTATTTCTTGACTTCGCCACAGAACACTTTACACCTTAAGTCTGTATCCGAACCAGTACCGGTGAGTGTTCAACAAATTTCAAAGTGATCGTTCTATTTACGTGTTTATCGTATGTTCCTAATTGTTTGACATATTATGTATCCTTACCTACATATTTCCTATTTTAATCGTGATTCTAGTTCAACGCTTAGATGTTATTATGTCGTAATCCACTGAGTTTGTGAGCGTTAGCAGTTTAGTTTTATTAGTGTTTAATGTGTGCATGCTTTTTTGTTAACTGGTCGAGTTCGTGCAGCCCGAGCCCGACTTGAGGGTTCGCAGGTTGGCGTCCGGAGACGTGTGAACGTTTCGTTTCAGATAAGATGTTTATAGGGTGTTAAGATGCAGTTACTAAGCAGCATATGAGCAGAATGAGACGTCACGAGATGCATTGCAAAGGGGTTGAGGGCGGCGGCAAGGAAGGCTCGCAAATGTCCCGCAGCGAGTCCACTGTGAGCCGGTGTACACCTCACACTCCTCTCGGCCTGCCTGATAGCGCCAGCGTCGACTCCAACCCCATGCCCACTATCTATCGGTAACTGGACTCCAGGGAACTGCCCTCCTTCGAGAAGATGTACATGATTCCCGCAACTCCTCATACTATGTTGAAGACTATACGACGTATTCTAACTTTGTATCAATAAGTGTTTTTTTATACATTTATACCACTTACGTATTATATTTATCTAGTAACAGATCCATATGCCTTATTTAATAATGTCCCTGTCGTATTGTCTATATTATGGAATTTACAAAGACCATCCATCTTATCAGTTTTGTTCGTAAATTTTGGGTAAGACAGTACGAAAACCAAATGAACCATGAACGGCTTGATGTACATCTTCTCTTAATGACAAATCAGAGAGCACACTACGCAGCATCGCGCACCGCGATCGTCGCATGCGAGTAGTTACGCTCGTGGAGCCTGTATATCTACGCGTACGATAAAAAAAGACTTGTTTGCATACAGTACTTAATGGTCCACAACAATAAACTAGAAATACTAGCTCCATGGTTACGGGTGCTTGGCTTGATCATGCTGATCATCGGGAGGTACCTACCGGTTCGGCCGCGAAGCACAGGTACGTAACGTCTCAATGTCGTGGGTCACACTGTCGCTTTCCACCCTCACGAACCTTGTGTTATGCCCTCCTACAAATAAAATGAATCCTGCATGCCTCGAACGATAAAGAAGAAAATATTTTCAGTCGGAAACCGCAAATTTCCACATAAAATATCAACAATTTACAATCTAATTAGAAATTACAAATTACAATTAGTATTTGAATTAGCATACTTAATACATAGTTTCAGATAGTAGACTTAATATATTTTATAACATGGGATTTTCGAATAGCTTATTCATTGCATGTACCAATATATACCGAAACCTCATAGATGCACACGTATGTAGGTATACCCTGCATCAATATAAAATCTAATTAATAATACAAAACACGCTTATAAAAAAATCAATGACCACAACTACCTAAATTAAATTATTAGCGAGTAATATTTAAAATTGAATAAATATTATTATAGTGTACCATTAGCCAAACTGAACATTTTTATATACATACATACATTTAGGATTCCATTTGCTTACGTAGAACCAGAATAGATAGTTATCAATCGTCATGTTAACAAAATTTTGACAGTATTCTATAAAAAAATATAAACAAGAAACAATACAATTATTTATTATTATGACAACATTTTAATTATTCTTATGAACAAATTAAAACTAACATGAAACAATACCTTCAGACTCCAACATCGATGCACGATTACGCGCATTTAATTATTTTAAATGGGCGCACAGTGCTAGACTATTTACGTGATACTAACATTTTTTATCTTGCCATATCCTCTGTCCATTGTTATTTCCATTGGTTAATGTTTATAAGATTCTTAATAAATTAACCTTGGTTGCGTGTCTAATTCCCTGGGCTCATTTTTGGTCTTATGGCGAAAAAGCTATTTCAGCTTTCGTATACACTGAGTTTCGAATATTTCTGTGAAAATGCTCAAGTTTTGCCTTCATACGTCGACATCGAAGAACACAAAAATTTTAAGCTTAATATTAAATTTTATTGATTGCCAGAAGAGCTTACTTGCAAATATATTAAGTGTATTAAAGTCATCTATGCACAAATTCGTTTCTTTTCGAAATATTTAAACTTAACTGATATGATTTGCCTTAAGAACATTTTCTTAGTTTTATATATTATATTAAGCAACATCCATTCGTTATATTAATCTCTCTCTTTTTTACTACAACCAAATCAGAGGAAAAAAAATAACGCTTACTATAAACAAACTAAAGAAAACAATCAAAATGACAATTCGAAATTAAAAGTAATCATACTAGATACATGCATTAAATAAAAACAAACATTTTGTATTTAATTGCGACAATGTATCAAGAAATATTTTCTTTAATTGAGTATTAGATGCATACTTAAAAAATCTTCATCTTAAAGGCAATTTTTGAATAAATAATATCATGAAGAAATGTTGTCATAATTTCAAAAGGAATCGTAATATTTAAAATTAATATTTAGTGGCAGAAAAGTAATTTCAAATGTATTTTTCTTTGTTTAGATGTCGTGCTCCAATTGCCTCGCTGGATTGTATGGACGATTTTAGTGCGAATTCACAACAAATGCTGGATCAAGGTAAGTGTTTTATTAAAAAAAGTAAATCGGCAAAACGTCAGTACCTGTTTCGTCTCTGTTTGTTAACCGATTCTCTTTTTCTTTTGCTTGGTAGCTAAGTAATTATAGATAAAAAATGGAAGCATTTTTTTTCCTCCTTCACAAGAAAACACGTTAACAACAAAATAAAATAAAAAATGAATTGGGCAAGCACTAGTTCAATAGTAAACCAGTTACAAAAATGAGCATGGTATTCATTTAATTTAGATCAGTTCATGTCTCACTATTATATCGTACGTGCACAATTGTTATGTGCAGTACAGAATTTACTGGTTAGTGGTAGAAGACCCGGTCACCGTCCTGGTCGAACCCGTCGCTTGCGTCGAAGGGCTCGACGAGCGAATTAACCCATAGACACAGCCCACTGAGTTTCTCGCCGGATCTTCTCAGTGGGTCGCGTTTCTGATCCGGTGGTAGATTCTGCGAAGCACTGCTCTTGCTAGGGTCAGTGTTAGCATCACTCCGGTTTGAGCCCCGTGAGCTCACCTACTAGCTAAAGTTACGCTGAAATAGCCTCTCAAGGCTATCAGATTAGGTAGGAAAAAAAAAGTGGTAGAGGTAGGCTCGCACTGATAGGTACTACCATTCTGTCTACTGCGAAGTTATCGCATGTTGGGCTTTGCAGGATAAGGCAACTGTTATACAATTATTGTACAAAGCCGAATCACGTCGCGCGTTTTTAACTACATAGTATAAAACAAAGTCGCTTTCTCTGTCCCTTATCTGTCTGTCCCTATGTATGCTTAAATCTTTAAAACTACGCAAACGGATTTTGATGCGGGTTTTTTAATAGATAGGGTGATTGAAGAGGAAGGTTTATATGTATATAATAACATCCATTAAATAGTGGAGCAATCAATAATAAATTACAGTTTCCGAGGCGAAGCGAGGGCGGGTCGCTAGTATTAGATAAGTTTTAAAAACTCAAAACTTAAATCGTTACAAAATTCAATAATTAATAAAAATCTTGTACGTCATTTATTTCTGGAGATCTAAGCACTGGACGAATGAACATAAATATTTTATTAATATTTGCGTTGTAATACATATTATTACTACGTTCGAAAGTTCACTTAACTAATAAGGAAAGGTAATTTATCGTTTCTCGTGCAATTTAAAGCGAATGTGCAACGTGCATGTCAATTTGATACGGACGCGCTCATCATATCATCACAAAATATTACAAGCTTCCTGTTCCAGAGTAATGTCGATAAAACGTTCGTGCGTGTTTCTGTGTGTAGTCTAAGTGCGCAATTTAAAGAAAGAAGCTACTTTGAATTTATCTTGAAATCTTCGTCCTAGTTTCATTATAAACGATTTCATTCCAGAATATTCCAGAAAAACCAATAACCTAACAATAAATTGAAAATTGAATTTTGAAACGTATTATTACAGCTAAAAAATGAAAATAAAATAATTTTGTGTATTTTATATAATATAGGTCACATTTGAATAAGTACAATATTTAGGTCACGGATGTGAGCCAAGGACGCAACTTGGCCTCGTTATGCTGAACCATGAAAATGGAACAAATGTTTAACTTAGAATCTTACAGAGATTTAGCTTACGCGCTGGAGACACCTTTCTGATTAGTAGGTTATTTATGAATGATTTTGCGAATATCGTATTATCAAACCTCTTGGTTTTCTTAATTTAGGAAAATGACTATTAATTCTACATTAATCCTAAATAATTAATTTGTTTTTGCTATCAAATAAGAAATTCTAGTACCGTTACAATTATTTTGAAACTCAGTCAGTACTCTAGTATACTAGCATACTTTACGGATAGTTTTATAAACACTTGTTATTAACATTTAAATTATCTGTTTACTACAATACATCACAATTTAAATCTTTACCAGAAATCTTGAAACATAAAGACTAGGTTTTAAAAGAATTCCTTCGTCACAAATTCGTGTGTAGTTTTTTGGAGTCCCACCTAAACTTGACAATATTTAAAGTAATATTATCGATCAATATCAACTTAACTTGAAAAATTTGATTTATAAAGTCCTTCCGCCAATTTATATTATTTAATATAGCAAGCGGTATGTGTCTTTCCAGATTATAAAAATTTGGATCTTTTTGTGTGTTTATTCAAGTTACCTTTGTTAAAAATATCGATTCAAATATCAGAAATGGTTCTTGGAATACCATTCATTTAGTAATCAAACATTATTGTCATTGAAGGTATTTTCTTATCAAGCAGAAAACAAATGAAATACTTAAATTGTGTTTAAACAGCCGGAGAAGTAACTGTAACTCGTCACATGTCGACTTATATGGGAAACCACACAGCGATGCCGTCAGCGGTAACTCCTGGCTTGCGTTACAAGAACCTTGGAAAATCCGGTCTAAGAGTGCCTAACATCGGCTTAGGATTGTGGACAATGCTTAGTGAAGAAAGTATCGAGGATGTGGTAATGACCGCTCTGGAAAACGGCATCAACCTGTTCGACCTCTCTGAGGCTCATTGCGGTATGTTTGCCACTACCATCATAAATTCTTAACTCAAATAACTTCTTTCGAAAGTAATTAACGTTAAAAATCAACCCAGCTGGCTTTGCTTTAACAGCTAAAGGCGAGGCGGAGCTGGGGAGGATTCTTAAAAAACGAAATGTTAGGAGGACCAGCATCATAATTACCACAAAAATATATTGGAGTACAAAGTAAGTTATTTATCAATTTTCCAATCACACTAATGCCGCATGTTTTTGAAAGCATAAAGATTTTTTTTTTTCCGGAATTTAGAAACAAATAAGAAAATACTATTTTTTTTTTGTTTTTCGATGACTACATATTTATTTTGGAATGAAATAGACTGTTGTCTGTAGTAATAGTCATGGAGGTTCATAATCGCTCTAACGTAACTAACAAGCCTCATTATATATCTGAGTATAGCAATCATCCCACGGACTGACCTGCGTCGTTGCGAGTAGAGATTAGTAAATAATGCTTATCGCTGCTAGGTACTTGCTACTCGCTACCGAGATACTAACATCGCTTCGATATTATGCTTACCAGCTGGCTATTCCCTAATATATTTTGAAATCTTCTGATAGGTTTCATACTAATAACAGGTCGGATGAAAGAGGCTTATCTCGTAAACATGTAATAGAAAGTGTTAAGGCTTCACTTGGTCGACTTCAAGTGGAATATATTGATGTTGTTCTCCTTCATAAAGTCGATCCTGTATGCCCCATGGAAGGTTAGTGCCTTATATTCTTATTATTGCTTATTTATTTCATATTGAGGACTCCCTAAGTTTTTTTAAATGTATATCGATTTTTCAACCATTATGGATGTAAAGGTCATTCTCATTGCCAAACTAGATAAACAAAAATCATGCTCAGCATAAACACATGATACTTTAATTTAATTGTTGAGATGATCCCGTAATTTCCTTTTGACCGTCGCCCTCTATCGTAATAGAGGCTTTTTCTTCTTCCTGGGAACGCTGTATTCTTGCACGATGCGTTTCTATAAATAATCTTTGCCACGTACCACCCACGTCTGAAATGAGCTCTCCACCACTGGTTGTCCGGAGTTCAATGACATGTCTTCCTTCGAAGTTTGAGAAGCGCTCACGTTAGTAACAGCGACTGGGATGTGCCTGTGTCATTATTAACCACCTACGACCAGGAGGGCCATGTAAAACATGTCTTCAAACTCAATAAAAAGTACTGAACTGCGTGTTCACTAAAAGATTTCGGTAACGATTCCAATCGACTCTCAACTTTGACTCTTATATTTACTGTACTTGTTGATAATTAAAATCGAGTTGAAGCGTCTCAGACTCGCACTTGAGGCAGACGAAGAATTTATTGATTATGACTTTGTGAATTATTAGCAAGTACTCAAATATATATTAACATCTAATAATGAGCGCACTTTATAAACAGAATTGGTACGTGTCATGAATTACGTCATAAATGAAGGATGGGTTATGTATTGGGGAACGGCGCGCTGGTCACCTTCTGAGGTAACTAATTTAGATTAAAGAAATTATATAATTAATAGAGATATTATGATATATGTATACTCAATAGAGAAATTGTGTACTTAATAGAACATATCCGATATACTTATATACTTTTAGATAATGGACGCGTATACAAACTGTAGACAGTTCAATTGCATAACGCCCATAGTGGAGCAAACTGAGTACCACATGTTTTGTAGGGAAAAACCTGAATTGTACATGCCTGAACTGTACCATAAAATTGGAGTCGGTAAGATATATATTTTATTTTTTATTCAGTTAAATTACAGATCTTTAGTACCTTGTAATTCGATTTGGGTCAAACTTTTGAAACCATTGGCCGACATTGGATCGGCTAGAGAAGTACGTAGGGTTAAGTTATTAAATAACGCAAACAGTAAGTAAATCCTAATACAATCATATAGTAGTAACCCAAGGTAGACGAGGAATTAAAATATTCTTCAAACTACAGTTTTAAATATTAACCGCAGCATTTCGATACGTAGGCAATACCGTCTTTACCATAAGGGCACACGGAGCCCGTGCCCAGGGCCCCCATTCTCAGGGGGCCTGAAAGACCGACAATTTCTCTCACGCGTTTATTCTCAAAACATTTTTGTCGGGGGACATTCATAAATCAGTAATCAGAAGGTATTTATAAGGCATAATAATATACTAAGCCTATAATAGAAGATTTTGCTCAACAGAAATCCCGAAAGAAACCGTTATCGAAATCGTAACCAAAAAACCAGCAGCATTCTAATATCAGTAATGACATATTATATCATACTGTATTTGATGATAAATATAAATGGTCATACTCAGTAAAAAAATGTTATTATAATTCGCTTTTTTTACTTTCCAAAAGGGCCTCAAATTCTTGTGTGCCCAAGGGCCCCATCCTAGTTTAAGACGTCCCTGTACGTAGGTACTAACTTTTGTTTAATTTATGAAATGCCGAAATTTGGCAGAAGACTTAAGCTTCACTAAAATAGATTGCCAAGTTGATTAATGAAGATTACATTAATTTCAATTTCGATTAGGATCATTTACATTTAAAACATAATTTATTAAAAAGCGCAAAGGAATCCCACCAATTATTTTTTAAACACAAAAACATCCCACTGATACAAAGTTATTTCGAAAATCTTTAATAATGTTTTTACTTTTAGAAAATCACACTCAGTGGGACAAATGACACACGATTATCTGACAATACGCCTAAAATACAAACTTAAGCATTGAATTTATTATTGAGATTTGAATGCAGCTAAAACACAATGTTCAAAATAATGTTTTGGTCATATTAGCCATTTCATCGAGTAATTTGTTTATTATTATCTGTGCAAACAAATTCTGCATTTGAGCCTTCTGAGAATACTATCTATACAGTAAACAAGATAAGCCCTAGATTGTTGCGAACCGTTAATCATAATTATTATTGCACATATTATTATGTAAACAAATTCACTGGTAAGTAGGACGTCTTGTGAGACCTACTCGCACGAGTGAGTCCGTATGGTTAGGTATCACCTTTTTCTGCCCTGCCTATTTCTGCCGTGAATCAGAAATGCCTTTCGGGTTGAAGGGCAGGGTAGCCATTGTACTGTTAAAAATGAGACCTTACAACTAACGTCTCAAGGTGGGTGGCGGCATTTACATTGTTTGTGTCTATGGGCTCCTGTAACCATTCAACGTCAGGTGCACAAATAAGCAATAAAAAAAACAAAAAAACGCATATATAGGAAATGCAATTTGATCAGGTATGATGGTGTGGTCAGCCATTACGACAGGTAAAGGTTTGGGTCGCGAGGAGATAACTGGCTTGTTCGCCAAATCGCGCTTCAACAGAAAATACAGTACATTCAGCTGGTGCGAAGAGGATTTAGCGGTACCTGAAGTAAGTTATGCATTATTAATGTTAATTCTTGGCCGGCCTTACTGTAATTATAACTGAATACAAAAAAGATAGATTTGTCGAAGCTGCCGAAGCACTGGCTATTGATGGATGGATAAAGCGAACGCGAGCAAATTAATAACCCCACAAATTGTTCTTATTGGAAAAGGATATAAACACAAAATGATTTTTTTATTTTTTATTTTACATATACATATACAAAAGTGATTTAAATGAAACCATCATGGTTATAGATGAGAAGTTCTGGAAGCAAAGAGCAAGTGACCGGTGAAGAACCAAGAACGTATGGCGATAAATTACGCGACCTGGCTAATTTAGCTAACTCTCTTAGTAAGTAACCAACTACGACAGAAGCTTTGTAAATTTTATAGCATTTAAAATATCACAAATCAACGTATTCTTCGTTAGATTGCTCGATGAGTCAGCTTGCGGTGGCTTGGTGTTTGAAAAACGAATCTGTCAATTGCCTGCTCCTTGGAGCCACCAGTGTGGAACAGTTTAAAGAAAACATACACGCATTACAGGTATATATAAAAAAAATATTCAAAGTATGCGTAAAGTCTTTCAAATTATTGCAGCAATCGCCCTTGAGATTTGATGTAGAAGTCTGTATTAAATTATTTAATGAGAATCCTATTTTTCAAAACGAAACCCATGACCACTTCGTGCTAGAAATAGGTGGGATTGTGATCGACTACTTTATGTAACTTACATAATTTTATAATTTCCACAAAGGTTGTGTGTGCTTATTTGGCGGAGACAAATTTGTCTACTGGTAGTAGAACCTGTTGTGAGTCCGTGCTGGTAGGTACCACCACCCCGCCTATCTCTGCCGTGAATCAGTAATGCGTTTCGGTTTGAAGGGTGGGGCAGCCGTTGTAACTATACTGAGTGAGACCTTAGAACGCATGTTTCAAGGTGGTGGCATTTACGTTGTATATGTCTATGGGCTCCGGCAACCACTTAACACCAGGTGGGCCGTGAGCTCGTCCACCCATATAAGCAATAAAAAAAATTTCAATGTGCGCACTTAATTCGTATGACCAGTATTAATACGTTTACTTCCTGGTGGCACTGACTATTGCTAGGATGTCTTATCATACCTAACCGTACCTAACAGTGGTGGTGGTAAATCAATAATGCGTTTCGGTTTGAAGGACGGGGTAGAAGTTCTACTATAAAAATGAGACTTGGTAATCATATCTCATGTTGGGTGGCCACGTTTACATTGTTGCCTTCTATGGGCTTCTGTGGTGTGTGATTATTATTATTTTTTAACTATATTTTTCAGATTGTTCCCCAGCTGACCCCGTCAGTGATGGTCGAAATAGAACGTTTGTTGGCCAACAAGCCTCAGCGTCCACCGATGGTGTCAACCCTTGCAATGCGTAACCAACAAAACAACAACACCGTCCGAGTTGACATGACGTACGTGTAAACATTTTCATTGTTTTATTTAAAACTACCTAACTCGGCAGACTTCGTAGTGTCTCAATCGATAAATAAAATACCTAAATTTTTGTATAAAATAAAATTAAAACAAACGAAAGGAATGCTTCCGACAGGGGACACATCAAAGGAAAAACAAAATTGTTATTTTTATTTAATTGCAACCATTTTCATATTTATCTACATTTTGAACCTTTTCTGGACTTCCACAAATAATTCAAGACCAAAATTAGCCAAATCGGTCCAGCCGTTCTTGAGTTTTAGCGAGACTAAGGAACAGCAATTCATTTTTATATATATAGATAATAGAGAAAACGAATATTTATAAATAAATAAACAAAAACAAAAGAGTTCAATACTGTTTTATCCACTATTTGTCAGTTGGTCCTTTTTTCGGTTAAAAGTGAATCAATGACAAAATATAATAAATATTGACCATCAATTACTTTTTAAACAGTAAATAACATACTAAAAGAGTAAATTAAGAGTTTTGTCCAATTTCGATAGTAGGGCGATCACTTGTATTATACATTTAATTATCTACAAAATTAGGTAAATTACATATTAACTAATTATCCCAAATATAATATTGTCTGTAGTAGTATATCTCACTTCTTACCCAACATTTCCTAATACCAACGTCGGATACTATCGTAGGGCGTGCTGTGAACTGACACTATTTCTGCGGTAAAGTAATCAAGCCTTTATTACAATGCAATCTATACTTCTATATTAATTTTATAAAGAGTAAAGATTTGTTTGTTTGTTTGTATTGAATAGGCTCCGAAACTACTGAACCGATTTGAAAAATTCTTTCGCTATTTTGAAGCTACACTATTCCCGAGTGACATAGGCTATAATCTTTTTTGAAAAAAATTAAGAATCCTTACTAAAACTCCGAGAATGTAATCCAAGGTGTAAAAAAATCACCTAAAATATACTTTACATCGCGTGCCCTGCGAAAACTATCGACGATAGAATAAAATAATGTACTACGACTTTGTAGAACACATTATTATTTACAAAAAGTGTCGCGACAGCATATGTCTAACTATTATAGTCATGCCGTAATAAGTGTTCTTTTATTTAAAAATATAAAACAACGTCAAACATCGTTGAAAATTTCGCTAAAGAACCGAGCGCGGGCGGTGCGGGCCGCTGGTTGTGAATAAAATTGGACACGTGTCTAAATCTAAACAGGGGAGCAACAACGTCAGGCGCTGGATCTCCGAAGCCCGAGGAGGTGGCGTGCGAAGGTGAAGCCTCCACACCCGCAAAGGAGTCCGGGCGGGCCTTTTGTGATATTCAGTGACCGTGGTGGCGCGGAAGCACTGACTCTGCTTCCAAATCTAATAAATCAAAGGTAATGCATGCAATGCAAATTAAATGCATTCGTAACAGTCGATATCACAAATCTATACAAACAAAAAAACACAATTGCTTCATCATTATCATCATCATCATCTCAGTCTGTCTACTGTCTACTGCTGAACATAGGCCTCTCCAACTGATGTCCAGTGCGGCCGGTCCGTTGCCACCTGCATCCAACGTGACCCAGCAATTTTCACCAGGGCGTCGGTCCATCTGGTAGGTGGCCGTCCCACACTGCGTTTGCCAGTACGTGGCCTCCACTCGAGGATCTTTCTGCCACAATTGCTTAGAGACTGATAAAGTACTTTACCTTTTTGTTTTTAGTTATTTCAACTTGCTGCAAATATTCCTTGGACATTTTTTTGTAAATTCCATACCTTAAAGTCTTGTAATTATTGAACAGTCCGCTATGCAACTTTTTAGTATAATTTGGTATCCTGAAGATCTAACACCGTTTAATTTTAGAATAAATCAAATTATGAATGAACTTTGAACAGTACACATTTTTAATAATAATCATAATCATTATTTCCGGTTCCTAATATCGAAATATCATTACAAATTTTCAATCATAAGCTTTTAAGCAACTAAATTTTCATTAAATTCAAACAAATTTCCCAATAGACAAAAAAGGAAGGTACATCTATAAAATATAATATTATTATATATACAATAATAATATATATATAAAAATATTTTATTGTCCATAAACAAACACTTCTGGTACAGAATCGTAATAGTTATAAACTTTATGGAATGATCTGTTCGTTTTCAGGAATCAGTCAAGGATTCGAAGCCGAAATACTTTTTGAACAACGCCGGCGAAGTCATCAAACGTACAGGTAAACATAATTCTGTAATAAAATGAATTTTGGTGTGCTCCTTGTATGATATATGCTGTTGACACTTCAGGGCTTGTTTTATAATTTATATCTATACTAATATACAAATCTACAGTGGTTTTTACCGATGTTCCGTTATAACTACTGAACCATGCATCCGATTGACTTGAAACTTGGTATCCATGTAGAAAATATATTATGTACTTAATGGATAGACTAATATTTATATGAGTGTTGGACTCCCTATAATAATAATAATGACAATAAATAATAATGTTAATTTTAAATGCCCAGCGAAGCGGGCAAGTACGGCTAGTAATAGTATATTATCATCAATCATATTTATTTAGCCATTGTCGCCACGAAGCATGACCGTTTCACCGAACACTGAATATGGACAATAAAATTGTTTATTTTGATACAGAACAAGACGGTGTATCGACAGACGTGGTTATCTCGGTGTCGTCGATAAAAGGTAAGCAACCAGCGAGTGGTGGGAGTAAAGTGAAGAAGTCCAAAGCGGAACCGGTCCGTCCTAGGTCTGCTTCACTGCAAAGATCTTCTTCGGGACAAATATCAGCAACCCGAGACCGAAGAAGATCCAGACTAGACCTCTCCTCGCCAGCGGACGTATAAACTGTTCACTAATGCAATCAAAATAAGGACTAATTTATACAAGTTTTAGGGACGAACGAAGAACGCGACATCAAGTTTTTCGAATATCTCTCCCGTTCTCGATTGTTGTCTGATCATAATCCTTTTCGAGTACCTTATTTGTATATTAGTCCTATGAATGGGATTGTATCTAGCCTGTAGCCTTGTCAAATTTAACGTAATTACATCGTTTTAAAACCAAACTAAATAAGAAAACCAATATAAACACATTGGGCAAAACTGGTGATTGACTTCAATATTATTCAAAATAAATGTTATCAAAAGAACGAATCATAAAGTTAAGCTCGTAATAATGTTTCGACAAACTTATTAAAAAACAATATGCATTGACAAGATAAGCCGAAAGGCTTAGGAAGTTTTAATTTCGTGAAACAGCAATCTGAAAGGATGGCCGTTATTTTTTTTTATTTTACATTTTATTATTACATTTCGGGCACTAGAAGAACAGTCACAAAAATGTGGTTGGTGCAAGATATCGCGAACATTAACCACTGTCTTCGTTTTTGGAGACGAATTTTTTACCCGACTTCCGAAGGAAGGTAATGTTTATCTAGCCAATGATTTTTAAGTCTTTGGCACGCTCTTTAGCTTAAACTTTCTGATTTTAATTTATGAGGTGTTATTGAATTCGTCTCAACTGTGAAAGTGAGAAAGGGTGCGAACTTAAGGTCCGCGAAAAAAAAGAGTAATAATAACATTATCTCAAATATACCAAATAATTAAAACTCTGAAATAAAATTAAATATTAAATACAACAACAAATAACTTCAGACCGGAACAACCAAAGAAATAAGATACACAAATTTTTGAGTATAATTTAAACGTCCCCTTACTCTTAATACACGTTGTATATTATGTTTATCATATACGTATTTTCACATTTTAGTTGACGTTTTTAATGCATATAAAATATGGTTTTATTTTTTAGTTTCTTGTACTATGACAACCAAAATGGCAAAAAACAATCCTATTCCGATTTTGATCGCATTTAGTACATAAGTCGATTAAGCTACGTGGAATTACTTACATATCTTCAATCAGAGTGATATTTATTCGCAATGGGAGCTTAAAAGACCTCGGCGAATAAAAATATATTTTTGTATGAGATTCCAAGAAATTTAATCTTCTACAACTGTCAAGTGACTTGAGAAGTGAAATTCCATCTGCTGAAATGTTTTGACACTGATGTTATCATTACATAAAACAGACACGGACACTAAATAATAATTATACTTCATAATGATACCCACGTTATTATTGTGGCTAACTTATTGAAGTGCTATATAGTTTTGGGCTAAGCTTTTAAATGATTTAATATAAATTTCAAGTCCTCGAACATTTTTCATGTAGCGAAGTAATATTAAAAATAAACAGTATTTATAAAATACAAGTTGTGCAAAACACTTAAAGTGATTTATAACGTCTGTGATTAATAAAAGTGAATCGGAAGGTATTCTTATGAATATTGTTGAAATGCATCTTTCCAAACCTCTATAATAATGTAGAATCAATTAATAACACAATAAATGTTGAATTAGAGCATAGCAAGAAATTTTATTCTATAATATGAATTACTATTAATTAGTTGTTCGCAAATGAGTATTTTATTCACGCGTTGTAGACAATGTATTGTGTAGAAGTATAATAATTATTAGGAAATCTTAGAGATCGCCGTCTCCTAACGGTCAATACGTAGATGGAAAAATATTCACGTAGTAACTGTAGATAGTTTGGTCCTTTATTGTCATACTATTACAAAAGAAATGATAATAATAAGTTTTAAATTAAATGGAAGAATTAGGTAGGTAGGTAGGTAAAGGTATGCATCGTACGATACTGTAGAATGATTCCTTTGATATATTTGACTGATGAAGCTAGTCAACTACTAATTTAATCTATAAATCTTTTCTTCTCTTAATGATAACGCTTCGAACTATCTGCATTTCTCTTTATAAATAAATACCTCTCTGGCTTAAACATAATTGTTTAATATTCCTTCCAAATGTGACGATGACACATAACATTCACAACTTACAATTCCTATGAGTATATTTAAATTCGTTTCGTTACTTAAACTTTCATAGTTAGAAATTTCCATGTTCCCTACACTTCCATCTATGCTAAAAATTTCGTCACAGTCAGTGAAAATATTGGTACATTAAAAAGACACTTCATAAGATGCTTTAAGTCCCCGTCCCCGCTCTCGACGTTAACAGGCAATGAATCTGATTGTTTTCGACCTCGTACGATCTGTACCTTACGGATATTCTAATTGTCTAAAAATATCCTCTCAATTGAACTATAGCGTGTACATATTTGTATGTATATAACTCTACATCTAACGCTTTGCCCTGATTTTTGTGTAGATTTTTGTTCTTTCCTCGTTGGTGTTGTAACTACCTTTTTAAAATATTTATAATTACAAAATCAAAAACACAATTGAAATTTTAAATCGTGTACCTTCATCTTTACCGTCAAGAATTATATATGTACCTGGTAGAACTGTTTTAAATGAAAAATATTAATCAATGTTTACACTAGTGATACTTTGTCAAAATAGAAACTTAAATAATTATTATATAAATGTTGTCGAAAGTAAAATATGAGTCTTAGACTCTTCATATTGTTATATTTTTAAATGAAAAGTTTAACTTACTAGCATTAAATGTCGAATTGAATTCCCAGTACCTGCAATAAATTAAAAAGCACGCTATTTTAATATAAAATATTTAAATTTATTAATATTTACTAGAGAAAAAGATGCAAATGAATGTCTAGATTGAAATCAATAACTGAATTGAAATATTTGTGCTGCATAATGGAAATGAATTAGAAATATTTTTTCACTTGTATGAGCACAGCTAATTGTGATATTTATAAGTATGTTTAAGCCAGAAATTGTAATGTTATAAAACTAGTGTTTATTCATCAAAAAATCGAAATAAAATATTATAAAGTTCTTGTGTTTAATTCTGATTTGAAATTCCACACTATGAATGCAGTCGTGCGGACACAACTGAGTCAACCAGATAAAATTTAGAACGTTTAAATGACGTGTGGCTGCTGTGTGTGTGGTACCTGCCCACACGAACGTAGCATTTGTATTCTCTTTGCCCACACAGTAAACTAGACTACCGACGACATGCGAATGACACCGGTAACTATTCAATTAGCAAGCCTCATCCCTCCAATGGATCTGGTCCGAGATCCTTCCAAGGATAAGAATAGCAACGATCCAGCTGCAAGTTCCGTTCGGTAAATGACTATTGTGTAGCGAGATGGAGTTTAAGTGCCACAGCGGACGGACGCGCGATCTCGTTCGGAGCTCATCACTCGAACTGCATCATGACGATAGTATACTTCGACTGGCTAGACTACGTAGTATTTGGCGCTATGTTGCTCTTATCGTCCTTAATCGGCGTGTACTTCGCGTTTTTCGCGAGTAAGAAGCAAAACACAACGTCCGAATATTTGATGGGCGGGAAGACAATGGGAATGTTTCCTATTTCAATGTCGCTTATAGCCAGGTACATGCTTTTAATTACGTTTTAATTGGATCTTCATTTTCCGTGTTGTTTTCATTTTGCACATTTTCTAGTTACATTTCGGGTATTTCACTACTCGGCTTACCTGCTGAGATGTACACGTATGGTACACAATTGTGGACAATAGTTTTGTCCGAATGGGCAGTATCACTCACAATTGCAATAATTTACTTGCCAGTATTCTACAATTTACAAATCACATCAACCTATGAGGTAATTAATTATAAACGCTATTTCAACAGCAAAATATAACTTAACTACTATTCAAAATATAACTATAAATATTCTCTCTTCCAGTATCTAAGACTAAGGTTCAACCAAAAGGTCCGCTTGTTAGGATCAGTCATTTTTATAATCAAAATGTTGCTTTATATACCAATTGTGATTTACGTTCCTGCTCTGGCGTTCAGTCAAGGTATTATTAAACTTATCAAACATAATTGACCTGATTCATGATTTTCTCGTTACGACCAAATAATAACTTATTTGCTTGTTTGTTTCTTCCATTTGTTTCAGTAACCGGTGTAAACCTTCACTTGATAACACCAATTGTTTGCATTGTTTGTATATTTTACACAACTCTTGTAAGTTCTTATATTACTTATCTGAATGTATATAATTTTTTTTTTTTTATAAGTGATCAGTCATTTTGTACGGAAATGAAACATTTGCTAGAGGTCTCATAACTATTGAGGGCAATTTAGATTAACTAATAATCTTTAAGCACTTTCATAGGGTGGAATAAAGGCAGTTGTATGGACTGATACGCTACAAACGGTTCTGATGTATTTCGGAGTCGTTTTTGTCCTAGTTTATGGAACTTGGCGACTTGGAGGCATTGGAAATGTAATAGACCTGAACAAAAAAGGAGATCGTCTTGAGTTTTTTAAGTATGAAATAATAAAGTATTTACAATGATAATACGTGTAATGTTTTTAATTGCATTGTAATAGTATTTCAATTTCAGCATGGACCTTGATCCTACTATTCGACATACATTTTGGTCGACAGTTTTTGGAAATTATTTTAGTTGGTTAGCATCCTGTTCTGTTAACCAAGCCATGGTGCAGAGATGTCTTGCATTGTCTTCTTTAAAAAGAGCCCGAATGTGAGTTGTCTGAATGATTATGCTCACTATTTCCATTGATCAAGCTATTTTTAATCATTTATGTGTTCTTTTATTCCTTAACAGAACCATATTTATTATGGCCGCTGGGATTTTCATCATAGTTTCGTTGTGTTGCTATACAGGGCTAGTTATTTATGCAACTTTTTATAATTGCGATCCTCTAACTATTGGAGCTATAAGGAAAAGTGATCAGTTGTTACCATATTTTGTTATGACCATAACAGGATCGATACCGGCCTTACCCGGTATATTCATGAGTGGAGTATTCAGCGCCGCATTAAGGTAAAATATATATACCAAAACACAATTGCTTAATAGCGATTTTTGTAATGAATATCGTTGATTTTTTTAGTTCTATGTCGACCGGCTTAAATTCAATGTGTGGAGTTATTTTCGAGGATCTAATAAGGCCAGCTTACAACAAGCCCATAACTGAGAAAAACGCCAGTTTTATCATGAAAATTATAGTCGTAGCAATTGGTAGGTACGTTTTTTTTTCTGCTTAGGATAGGCAGCTAAACCTTCGATCCAGCAAGAGCGGTAAACCAAGCCCATAGATAGACATCTCAATATGGCTGTAACTTACCTCACTTGCCAGACATGATTTCAAACGTTGCATATCTACTCCCGTATCTTTCAAGCTGGAACGAATATCTGATTCGTGGCAGATATATTACTGCTCATTCTTCGGAGAATGTGTTGTTCATATTTTACGACCGGAAATAGACAAGCTGATGCTATACAAAGCCAATACTTAACAGCGGTAGGCAGCGGCTTGGCTCTGCCCCCGGCATTACTGAAGCCCATGGGCGACGGTAACCACTCACCATCAAGTGGGCCGCATGCTCGTCTGCCTACAAGGGCAATAAAAAAATCCAACGAAAAGCAAACTAAAATTTGAAATGAATTAAACAGACGAGGATTACAATTATTTGATTGACTTTTTAATTTATAGGGGCAACTTGCGTGGCATTGGTTTTTTTAGTAGAACACATGGGTGCACTTATTCAAGCAGGAAAAAGTTTGGCTGGTATAACGGCCGGTAGTCTTTTAGGTTTATTTTCGATGGGATTATTTTTACCATGGATTAATGCTACGGTAGGTATATGATTTTATGGGCCCATTATCTAGTAAGTTGTAATTAGTTTCTAAATTTACCAGTAAAAACCGTTCTCCGCTTCTGTATTAATTGCTAAATATCTGCAAAATACCCATTTATTACAACTAAGTATTGGACGCAATCTGTCAGGCGTTGGTGAAGTCCCAATTCTTATTCTCAGTCGTGTCACTCTTGACAGAGTGGTCGTGATCGTCATGTAGTGTTGGAAGGGGCAGACTTGATGCGTCTCACGATGTAGTGTTGCAGGGAGAGATGGCGCGACATCGTGAGACGAAGTCCCAATAAAAACGGGTAAAAGTTTTAACAGTTGTTGGCCTTTATGATCTAAGGACTCTTTGAAGAAACTTAAAATCGCACGGACCATCTTATAGCTTCCATGATGTTGAGAAAATTTGTTTTTTTTTTTAAATTATTGCTTGTATATTTCTACTGTTACATTGTTAAAATTAAAATTAGAGTTGTTAACGAACAAATATTTTTAAAAATATTTCAGGGTGCGCTGGCAGGTGGTATATCATCTACATTGTTGGTTGGATGGATATCACTTGGTACTCAAGCTGCTATTATGCGGGGCGAGATAATTATTTTCTCAAAAGCTGTGTCTGTCGATGGCTGCGAGGGTAACTATACGGTACCAAAGGAACCTTCAATGTCAACTGAAACGGAATTTGACAGGTTGCTAGCACTCCTATGTTAGCACTTTACCATAGGGTTTGAATCTGTCCGCTACACGATCACAATTAATCCAAAGACATATATCACGCATTGTGACCCCAAATTAACCGCAAGACTCATGTAGTTTACAATTACTACTAATTTGGAAACAATCACTGTACATAAGTTATCTTTAGCTTTATGTTAAGTTTTAACAAAAAATAAGGGTACTGTCAATTAGTACATGCAAATTTCGGGCTCCGAGTGAACAAACACTATTTTTTCCTATTTAATGCATGAAAATTCTCCATGGATCAATTTTTACTCTTTGTCAGTAAGCTGTTGAACAACTAATACATTATACTCGATAAAATAAGTAAGGGCCATCTTATTCTGTGCTCTTGTAACTACTCAATACTCTCCATTGCTTATTCTAATTTAAATACAGTTAGAATTTCTTTGTAAATATTTGTTTTTAAGTCTTTTCGAATTCTTTCAATGTCCTCAATAGATATATCGGAATTTTTAGCAGATTTATTTAAAAAAAAAACCACTGTTACTGAACTTCTGCTCAAAAACAGACAGGTTTCCACTTAAATTTGTCACTGTTCTATATCTAATAACAGAAGATTGCTTATAAACAGGTCAGGAACATTCTTCCCGTACAGACTGAGCTACTTGTATTACACATTCATCGGCATGATAGTTTGCGTGTTGGTTGGAGCTCTCGTCTCGTATTTTACGCGGCTAAACGATCCCACAATGGTAAGATTGGGATTACTGTTTCCTTTTGAATAAATCATCGTTGGTTTTGAAGATTGAATCATGGGGCAGAGCGAGACCCGTTGTTGATTGACTATAATTCAATTCAGTGATTCACTCCTTACGTGGCCTATTTTATGTGTAATTGTGTCCTTGCGTGATAAGTTACGGCTTCGAGCCTGCAACCGGCAGTTTTCGAAGGATAATCTAATCTTAAAGGTGGAAGGGCGTATTATAGACCCACACCATTTTGCCTATTTGTGCTGCGTAGAAGTCAGTTCTGGTTTGAAGGATCGTACAGTACAATACAATTGAGATCTCGACCTCTTTTCTCAAGGTGGTATCATCTGCCAACGGCCGCTGAAGTTGTTTTCTGTTTTGTAGCATACAACATCCATTATGCTATGCAATTAGAACTAGGCTGCATTTCCCAAAGTGGGTTGCGATGTAAAGCGTTGTTTTTTTTTTAAATATCAACATAGCTCCTATGAGTTACGCGGCCATGTTATATTTTCTTCCACTCTTAACACAAAACATCTCAAATATACTAGCATTGGATTGCTTAGATGGGTGGACGAGCCCAAAGCCCACCTGATGTTAAGTGGTTACTGGAGCCCACAGACATCCACAACGTAAACGCGCCACCCACCTTGAGATACACGTTCCGAGGTCTCAGCATAGCTACAACGGCTACCCCACCCTTCGAACTGAAACGCATCACTGCTTCACGGCGGAAATAGGCGGAGTGGAGGCACCCACCCGTGCGGACCAAGAGGTCCTACCACCAGTGTTTACGCAAATTATAATTTTGCGGGTTTGATTTTTATTACACGATGTTATTCCTTCACCGTGGAAGTCAATCGTGAACATTTGTTGAGTACGTATTTCATTAGAAAAATTGGTACCCGCCTGCGGGATTCGAGCACCGGTGCATCGCTTCAACACGAATGCACCGGACGTTTTATCCTTTAGGCCACGACGAATTCAATTTAACCAATATTATATTATATTTAAATGTAGAAGATCCGTTATCGCTGTTAATATTCTGCAAGTGTATTATTATATTTGACAGATCCATCGTGACCTACTGACTCCAGTAATCCATCGTTGGCTTCCACCTCAAAGTGTCCATTGTCGCAGACCACGACTCACTCAACATGAGATTGAACTACACGCAAGAGAATTGGATGAACTGCGAGCTCATTCCCCTTATAATGTGCGTTTTTAATTCTTTCTAATGCACCAAAATCCATTTATAAATTGTAAATCAAAACGATATTGAATGTTTCCACTTTAAGCAAGTGTATCTTAATCTTACATTTTGCAATCTTAAATCACTACATCACTCTTAAATCACTAAATCACTACACAATCCCAAAAAAAGACATCTAAAAAATATAATATAATTTACTTAACTTTAGCCATAAAATGGAAGCCTGCCATCAGAGCAATTGCTTAGTTACTAAATTATGACGCTAAAATTAATACTAACATAATAATATGTATGCTCCTGAGTTTTTTTATGTTTTATGTGTTATTGTTGATTTGTTTTACGACTTTTAACTTTTTTTTATGTTTTATTACAGAAATTTAACAGTAGCCCAGAGTTCTCGCTGAGGAGAAATAACAATAATTATTAGTAATAATTTTCAAATGAAACATACCTTAATCATATAATATAAAAATATAGAATATTTACGTATTATTTAACTATTATTATTTATGTACGCAATTTTTTTTTTTTTTTTCAAATAAATATTCAAATCTAGAAAATGTTACTTTTATTTATTCTGAAGACTTAAATTTCAAATGTGAGTGATCTAAGATTTTTTGAGAAAATCCGTTCACTCACCACCGGAACATGCAAGCCGTCCCCACAATCTTTTTATTTACCTTGCATGCTATTTGGTGGTATGCGGCTACCACAGATCATTGCAATGCCAATTAGTTGCCTACCGAAAAGGACTATTTTTCGTTTGAGTAAGGACCCCTGCGATCATTTATACGTAGATCGTTTTTATTAGGTGATCCGAAAAGATGAACTTCATTTCACAGTACTACTAATCTCATACTTAGTAATAGATTCAATAAAAATACCTGAATTGTAGTGGTCCCTCGTGATAATGTAAGGTACATAATTTAAGTAAAAAAAGACTTACGCTGTGTACCATCCAAAGCACAATCATACTTACAAATATTTTATGTAGTGTACTATAGGCGTTTTATCTTCTTATATAAGGCTATGAGCACTATTGGTGCTATTGGTGGTAGGACCTCTTGGGAGTCCGCGCGGGTGGATACCACCACCCTGCCTATTTCTACCGTGAAGTAGTAATGCGTTTCGGTTTGAAGGGTGGGGCAGCCGTTGTAACTATACTTGAGGCCTTAGAACTTATATCTCAAGGTGGGTGGTGCATTTGCGTGATGTCTATAGGCTCCAGTAACCACTTTACACCAGGTGGGCTGTGAGCTCGTCCACACATATAAGCAAGAAAAAAAAACAAAAAAACTTAGAAGATAGAGAATAAGAGACATGTATACTAGGAAGAAGGGAAGAGCCAAATGAAGAATTTGATGAATAAAGTAATGACTTCGTTTGGTAAGATATATTTAACTAATAATCAAATAACATTATATCGTAAATTAACACATTTTTGTATTTACATTAAACTGCCGCTATTATTAAACAGAAAAACACTTCACAAATAAAGATCAGGACATCAGTACCAAAATGACAAAAAATTTCCTTTTTCAGAAATATAATAATTTGAAAATTTTGATATCGAACAATATTTGTTCGTTTGGTTCTAACGTCGAAAATTTACAATTAATATTAGGTTTCATTGAAGCGACAATATTTAATAATACTGTATATTTGTAAATAACAACAACCATGATATTATTGTACTTGAGCCAAGGCACTTTTCAGAAGTATCCAAGCTGTCATAGAATTTACTAGTGAAATAAGTAATGGAAAATGATGATTCTATTACTTTATTTATCGAGAATATATTCGGAATTGTACGTTTTATTTATTTTAAACTTACAATTAAAACTTCACAGCTCATTAAATCTAACAAAAAATTAAAGATTCAAATTGAGACTCGTAAAGTTAAGAAAAGTTATCTAAAGATAAATTAGCTTCACCAAACATAAATTATCCAGAACTTCTCACATTGTCCCCTTAATTTATTAAACAAAAGTGCAATAAGTTAACTAATTTCTAGCGAACTTCGTTAAATTACACGAACTTACTTTAATTTTAGATTAAACAATACGTAATTAATTATAAAGAAACATGTTTAATGATAACATTCAAGAAACACATTCAGAACATTCAACGCACTTCAATATGTAACAATTTATAAGAGGTGATTGTACTTGTTTATGATGTATTATTAACAGTACACTAACTTAAGATTTCATATCCGCTCTTTTGCAAGTACGCACATTAACAGGGAAGAAAACATTAAGTTCGATTAGTGTTGCAAGAATTAAAAACATGGCGTACATAGCGAGACACGCCCGCCCCACTGCAGCATCTAACTTGAATTTGTTGAACCAAAATGTCAAATATAATAGCAGTAGCGTCGATAGCAGTGATATTGCTGAATATTCCAATCCCATTGAATTAATTTTAACCTGTTAAAATCAAAAAGAACAATAAGTATTATAAACTGTAACGATCACAATGAAAAACTTATAAAATTTCGCAGAGCAAGTCTAAAGGCAAACAAAGAATCGCAAAGTCATACATTCGCAAGGTATGGAAAAGTACACAAGGAATTCGCATACAGAAATCTAAGTTATAAAACAAAATCTGACCCAATAATGTCCTGGCTCGGCTGGAGTTAGCGATGCTTTTATAAGCCACGGTAAGCCAAGGCAAAGTAAAATATCAAATGTATTCGATCCTATTGAGTTACTGATTCCCATCGAACCATGCCCTGTCAAAAAATAATCAATTTTAGTTATCTTTTCAAAAACCCTTAGCTGTTGCTTGGTTTCTTGTAAATACTACCTTGTTTAGCTACTATAACGCTGGAAACCGCTTCGGGAACTGAAGTGCCAGCAGCAAGAAAGGTAATACCCATAACTGAATCTGGGATCATCAGCGTATCACCTTAAAATATACATGTTTAAAATATTCATTCAATATATGTACATTTTTAACTTCAATGGCTTATTTTTTCTTACCTATTATTGTTATCATCCATGCAACTATATAAGACAGTGAACCGATCCAAACAATACACATAATGAAAGTAAGCGGAAACCAGTTTTTAAATCGTGGTTTCTCACAATCTGGAATTGTAAACAGGAACACCAAGTGAATGGGCCATGTTACAATTTTGGTTATCTGAAAGGAAAATAATTAAGTTTTATAAAAATTGGAATAAAATATTATTTGTGAAATATAGAAATCAAAATTAAAATACCTTAGCTAGGCAACTCTTGTTGCTAGGCCATTTCCACAATGAGTTCTCGGATCCATCTTCAACATCTTTATTATCTTCTGCAGTTGGCTGATATAAGTTTTCCTCTGGGCTAGCGATTTCCATTTCATTGGGCTTAGAATCCATATCAATATTTACATTTTTATCTTTTCCTTCTTCACTGGCGGAAACTTTATCCGAAACATCGACACTTTCTAAAATCTTTTCTTTCGCATCTTGACGAAGGGGTGATGTTTTAATATTACCGTTATGTTGATGGCGTTGTTCTATAGGTACATCTATTTTTAGAATATGGGTCGATAACTTTAAATCTTTACCTGAAAATTCATAGATTAATATCGTTTCTATAAGTGTGTAATGATTATTTCACTATACTTCTCATGTTTTATCTAACTTATGAGATAATAAAATAAAGCTATGTGAAGTTTAAAAGAATCGTGTGAAATATCGAAACATCCAAACTAAATTTATCTATTCTATGTGGCATAAAAATATGTAATTAACGTATATTTACCATTCTCTGCATCTTGTTTGTCTTCATTATCTTTGAACATGTTTGATACCCATTTCCAGCTCCCTGTGAAATTTAAAACATTCATCTATTCCGATCCTTATTAGTAATATTGTTGTGTATACTAAAAGTCTTCGTCACTCTTTTTTACTTTTAGCAAGGAAGATACGTAACGTCAATTAATAAATAACCTTTATTTCCGAAACTCACCTTTCGCAAAATTCTGTATAGGCTTGTCATAATACATTATGCAAATGTAAACCCCGTACAATGAAACTAGAAGAAATGCTTCATACCACTGAACATACTCATCGTGTATAATACAAATAAGTATTGAAACTGTAATCCCATAAGCCAGACAATCTCTAGTAAGAGGCCACCAGTCCAAAGGAACAACCTGAAAAGTAAAAAAATTTGAAAACTTTAAATTCTCAACTACCAATCATATTTTAGCTAGGTACTATTTTAATAAATTAAAACCATTGTTTTGCCTCATCCAAAGTATCGTCGAACAATTTGCCTCATATCTTGTACAAGAATACATCATGAATCAATTATAAATTTGTCTATGTTCAGCGAACTTAAATTTCAAAATGGATGACATGCGAATTGTTGCTATGACTTCATGCATATATTTTAATGGGTATCATAAAATATTATAAAATAAAAAACAATACGACTTTACACCCTTTAAAATTTTGTGAAACACTTTAAAGTAATCGTTCGTCCAATCCATCGTAGATAATAAACCGCTTGCGACAAAGTTCACAAGTCAATTAAACAATGACGAATACGTAAAAACCGCGCACAAACGCCTTTTGAATCGTGCCAAAAAGCGGACAACATGCACTTAACGGACCAGTATTCGTGGCTAATACTGAATACACCCGAATGAACACTTTACATCCTGGTATTCGTGCGTATTGAGTTAATTCCGCGAGTATCTTAATGAGACATTACTATTAATCCTTGTAATGCGGCATGTATGCGTATTGTAGGCAAGAGTTAAGGCCTCGTGATGATTTTTAATATATATGTAACTGTTTTACTAATGATCATATTTATTATTATTCTTATTTTTGGAGTTTACTCCTTTAGAATCGATTTACATATATAGGCCCGGGGTATGAAAATTATGGGGACCAAAATCGTACTAGCATGTCACACGAAATGCGTTATGCGCCTGATTGCGCATGTCACACGAAATGCGTTATCGCAGGTGACGCCGGGCTGCTGCGCCGGCAGTCCGCCACAAAGCCTCGTACTGATCGCGCGTTTCTCTCATTATTGTATTTTCATATATTTGTTAGTCGTTTGTTTTGTGTCTCGTTAATTTGTTAATAATCTGTAGTGTATCGTGTTGTCGTAATATAGAACTATTTCTCGTATTGTTTCGTTTAATTTTTTATATCCAGTAAACTCCAGTCGTGCGTCGGAGCGGACACACACACTTTTTTTTTTATTGCTTTTAAGGTTGGACCAGCTCACAGCCCACCTGGTGTTAAGTAGTTACTGGAGCCCATAGCCATCTACAACGTAAATGCGCCACCCACCTTGAGATATAAGTTCTAAGGTCTCAAGTATAGCTACTAACACTAATGACTTTTATTAAAAACCTGAAAATAAAATTGATCTTCGAAGGACATCAGAAATACAAACCATTCCCGCACCAATACCACAACAAGCCGCCACAGCTAATATATTGAAGACAGCCGAACCCACTATGGTCCCCACTCCGATATCACCCTCCGTAATGAAGGTACCTATGACGTTCACGAATAATTCTGGTGCAGAAGTAGCTGCGGCCATGAAAGTCGCTCCAGCCACATCGTTTGTCATGTTAAGCGCTGAAACCAAATATTACAATTTAACGAAGGTATCTCATAGGGATTATATAAGTAGTAATAAATTTACAAACAGTATTTTCGTGCGTAATAACAAAAACGAATGTGTAAAAGTATAGAATTCGAAATTTCATCCTCCACACGTAAAATCAGCCAAGCAACCACCACCATTAATTATTTTTGGATCACCAACAATACTTAATTCCGAATACAATAATTCTGGGCCAATAATATTGTGCCAGAAAATGAGGATTCCAAAACTGGCAGGTTATACTCAGTGAACAATATTAGCATAGAAAGTAAAGAATCAATCGACAAAATATAATAGTTTTCTCGAATGTGACAAAGAGATCTCCTGGTTGATTAACAACAGTTAAATCTTTGCGATGCATATGGAAATTTGTTGAAATAAATATTAAGTATAAGTTGGCGTCCGTTCTATACTAAATTGACTTTTAACAGTTTTATTTTATCTAATATAATATGCTAAATTATTTGGATTGACGAACCTATCCAGAAAATTTAAATTGAAGAACTCAAGGAATTCAGTTTCTCTTTTTTATTTTATTTCTTGGTTAAAAATAATACGATAGAGCTTTTTCGAATAGTAATCAATCATTCGAAATTCAAATCAGCCAGCTAACTAGAAAGTATTTCACGTCATTTACACAGAGCTCCTGCATAACTAGACCGGTGTACTTTTTTGTTTTCTTTTGTAAATTGCATTATTTTCAGTATACCATATTTTAAGTAAACGTACCATGACAAATTTTTTCAACAGCAGGTACAAAGTATTTGTCGCAAACAACTGCAAGAGCTAAAAAAAGATAGATGGAGATGAGCGCGTGCAGTACGATAGCTCCGTGCTGTCGTTGCAGCTCCGTGAAGAGTCCAGCAGGGAAGTCATCGATAGCAGGCGGAGTGCAGTTCCGGATATAGCCATCTGTAGATTGCAATAAATAAATAACGTAATTAATTTGTTAGTTATCCCATTAGAGTTAACGCATCAGTCTTGAGGCAACCCAAATCCAGCCATATCAGATTTCCATTCTGATTTAAGCCCCCAAAGCTTATTAATGACTTTATTTTATGTATTTAATAATTTCCAAGGCTCTGGATTGTTTTTTTTTTTCATTTCTTTTATATTGTTTAAATGTTTTATTGCTTTGTTTCCCTCATACATTTATTCTAAAAGTTTCCATAGAAAGTGAAATGTATGGATGTACACTTTTCTTATTTACGCGGGTTGAATATAACCTCTTTATTATATTTCATCTAAGCCTATTAGAAAGGCATATCCAACCCTAAGCCAATGTTATATTTTATTATAACCGTGACGGTTTTAAGATTACTTAAATATGCAAATCGTAAAAACTAAAAAGCTAGTAAAAATCTAATTTGGGCTTATATTGCTCAATAGTCTCTTTATCATAATAGGACAGCATGTAGATAACAGGACAGATTGTGCCATTTAACCCTTGTGTCAACTATAATTGAATTACTATTGATGCATTATTGATCATGTAATTGTAGTAAGCGACTGGCTACTAGGAGTATCTTGATTTTAATAAGTCTTACCAACATCATTCAGCACACTTAAAATACAGCTTAGTTTATGTCTAAGAAGTGTGTAATTTGAAATATTCATCAGCATCATAATTCATGAGCAATAGAGTTATTATCATAAAGATGTAGAGTGCTAAGCTGACGTGCAATTTAAAGATGTCTTAACAAGACAATTGGTACTTCAATCCCTCCGTTATCACGAACACCGAAATGAAAATGACAAACGCATTCATTGGATGAGAAGCATTTCCTGTTCTATACACGCGAAAGAAGCATTGAGACACCCTTGCAATCTTTAAACTTGATTAAGTGGGACATGGCCTCTTCTATCATTCATAGAGAATGAGAACAAGGTTGAATGGTATCTAGAAGGATGTGAGGATCTACTGGCCGACAATGTTTGCCACGTGTGAAGCATACAGTTCTTTCATGCTTATTAATTCTGTTACAATGAGTGCGACGCATAAAAATAGTAAAATCTAAATTCTTCGTAGTGATCTTTAGGACGATCATGAGTACCGTCACTGTTTTACGGAACTGGTCCAAGACATCCTGTTTTAGAATGGCGGTTACATAGGTTTTATTAAGCGCTTATGCGTTTATTAGTTGAGTAGTCATTGTCCTGTAAATTATACTGACACCTGAATTTTCCATTTTTCTCGTGACGAACGTCAAAAGGGCAAAAGATTATCTGATTTTTTTTTCTTTCGTATAAACCACTATTGAAATTACGTAAAATTGTTGCTGATTTTCTTTGGAAATTTTGTTTCTTTGTCTGGATCTTTCATAAGCTTTGTACTGACAATTACGAACGCAACGTAAAAGGAATCAATCAAATCGTTCAAGCCATTCTCGTATACTCCATCAAACATGTAGCAATTGTTTCTTATTGAAATACTCGTCTATTTATTGAAAATGTAGTATAGTAGTAGTATTTATATTATACGTTTTCCCTGTACCAGAAATTCCACACAGACAACAGTATGAAAACTCCATAAAAATTAGCTTTTGCTACGGTAACCATTTTTCGTCCGAATCGGGACGCATGACTGTTTTTAGTAGAATTTGACATCAGACTGGTACCTATACTACTTTATAACAATTGCCAGTCATTTTAGTGTGAATGTAAAAACACTACATATATGAAGCGATAATCTTTAGCAATGTGACGTTTTTAACCCGCTTCTACTCGTAGTAGTTTGAACTGCATCTATTAAAGCAGGAATATTTATATGTTATTTTCACTAGCTTCAAGACGTCCGAACTTCACTGATAATACATAAAGCACATTGACTTAAAACCCAGAGTCGTTAAAATTAAAAAAAAAGAAAGTTCGGTTTGCTATTGAAGCAAGTTTAGTGGTTTTTAGTTTTAAAATTATTTGTAATGTCCATAAAGAGATAGTATCAATTATGTATAAAGAAAAAAGAAAGCTCCCTGAAAACAAAAAAATTGGGTAGAACGCCATCCCAACCCATTACTAAATAAATGGTAATACTAATAAGCTCGAGGATCAAGCAGACGTAATTAATATTTTAACCACGGGAATCAAGAATTCCTAAAAACTTCATAAAATCCAATAACAACTTTATTTAATAGAAGCTAATGGTCGAACCATTCTTATTGGAGTCACAACATTTTAAAATAATTACTTTCTTTCAAAACAATTACAACAATTATGACTACTATACTTATTACATTACATGCATTTACGAAAAATGTAACGTCAAAACTTCGGTAAAATAATAATTAATCCGATGACTAATGAACTGATCGAGAATATGTGGTAGCTTCAAGCATTGATTGGATAATTTTTTATGTAGGTTTTTAGTTGCTCGTAATTCGACTCTAATTAACCTTGGACACTTAAAAATTTTGAGCGAGCGTGAAGAGTTAATTCTATATCTTCGACGTATGCTTTGGAGTAAAAATATGGTGTTTTATTTCCTTGATTGCAATAACAACATATTTTTGTCGCGCTATAAAACAAGTGCGAACAAAAGCATCGAGCCTAAATTAATGAACCATATTTCCATATAAATAACTATCTCAAATATTTACAATTGATAGGTACGAAAATATATATGAATTATCAAAAAATCCTCTAAAAATACACAACGTTGACAGGTAAACGAGTATGATTCTCTTTTAAAATCAATAGGGTTACGAAGGGCGTGGATACGCCTGTTTTATATAAAGCTAATCCCGTATTGGATTTATCTCTTTTCAATATATACATTTACTATTTATACATGTGTATATAAAATGAAAATTTTAATTGTAAATTGTATTATACGTGAATATTATGATTTAGTTTTAAAAGTGCATTTTTGTAAATAGTTAGAATTACATACGGCTTTTGTAATGAGACATGTCGCTCTCGATCAACCGTCAGACTTCCTTTGGCACTTCTAAACCGACACCAGCAAATAGTAAAGTCAACAAGCCAATCATGGACAAATTGTCTCAAATGACCAGTGCACTGAGCTCTTTAACTGGATTAACTGAAATCGGTAAATATGATGTGTGTCGCCACCGGCGTTACTGTGGATTCTGATACACAAACTTTATTAGAAGTAATAAGTAGACATGTCAAATGTGCGTGTCATGTCTCGTTTAGACACTCGCATATCACCAAGTGCATTGTAGAGGAAATTGACAGACCAAAGAGGCAGGAAGTCCGTATTAACGTCATGTAAGACGTATTTCGATAAACTATTAGTAATTGAGAGAAAAAAAAAATAAGAAATACATACGAAACTATTTACTATATTGAGTTTTGAATAAAATCGCGTAATACAATTTACTGTGTTCCCAATACCAATTCTTTCATACAAAATTATAGTAGAAACGATTTGTGTAATTATTTTTGGATGTTGATAAATGTTTTGTGAATCATCAATACTTTTATTTTATTTAGATATTAAAACTTAAAATTTTGTACTGGAGCCTGCTTTACGGGTACGCCTCAAGCGTTATCTTAGAAAAATTCAAATACGCACGCTTAGTTTTCACAACGTTTATATATTTATTGCTCTTTATCTGTTGCCCTTATTTTTTTTTACTATTTATTACAAGATAGATATTTAAAGAATAAGGACAAACACAAGTAGATCAGATATGAATGATTTTGGACAGCGGTCGTGGCAGATCACGTGAAGATTACCGGCACTCAACCTTGCACGACAGCCCTGAGTCGACGGCGGCCAATTGATAATTTGCGCGAGGAGCGACCGGATGAGGCGCCGAGCCGGAGCTCATGCCTCCCCCTTCTAACTTTAGAAACGTCACTCTAACTGCGGCAAATGGATATACGAGTATCAGCAAAATTACCTAATCAAACCATACGCGAATGACAACATTGTTTCTTATTTTTTAACTTGTTCCTAAGATCCTTTGCGGTGAGCAGCGGCTTGGCTCTGCCCCTGGCATTGCTGAAGTCCATGGGTGACGGTAACCACTCACCATCAGGTGGGCCGTATGCTCGTCTGTCTACAAGGGCAATAAAAAAAAAGATTCGGAACTCTGCTGTGAAAACTTTGAATATTTCGTGACATTTTATGTGAGGTATCCTGAGAATCCCATTCACATACTACTTCATTTATTTTTTGCAGTTACTTTGAAACGGTATATTTATTTTGTTAGAAACTTAGACTAGTATTGTTCAGTTATTACAGATATTTATATGAACGGCGACCATATTATTAAAAAGGTTCACCCAGGGCTCTAATGGCTTGACTTAATTAGAAAATAAGAAAAAGAAACTAGATTTTTAGGGTATACATTATTAAAGGATGTACTGTACATAACAAATCGTATTCATTAGTAGAAGTTGTGGAAGGTCAGCACATGTTTCATTATTGCTAACAATAAACGTTTATGTGCTCTTAATAAAAGGTGCGGCTAACATTAGTTCGTAATTTCGTGAACTCATTACTCCTTGACACTGTTATATTCAAAAAGAGATACAGACATAGAAGACCACACCCACGATAGTTTAATGATTAAGTATTACATGTTGAAAGAACTGTGTTCACTATAAATTATCTCTTAATTCACACCATAAAAATTTGGTTATACTGCAAATAAAACTTTCTTTAATATTCACTTGGAATGTGGCGTTTAAATTGAATTTATCACAGAGATATGAAATTCTCATCGTACCTGAACTTTTATTAGCCATGGTGTAGAGCTGTTCAGTTGATTACTTACGAACCACATAAGCTACAAGCCGGTGTAAAGCACCATGACATCTAACCCACCGCCGGGCAAGACACTGCGGATTCACACTTTCAAAGACGAGCACTCGTGTCGGGTCTACTGCTTTGCTCCACTACTTGGCTCACTCCCCAGTAGGGAGCGACCTAACCACTAACCGGGAATTGGACGCACTTCCGCCCCCTTCTCTATAACCTTGTCATGTACGGCTACGCACTCCCTACTTACAACTAAATGATAGTTAAACTCTTTGAAATTAAATAGAATCCAGTAATAAAACTTATCGATTAAATTAAAGGCAATACGCCATACCTCGTTCGGAGGTGTTCATATTTTGAAGTGGCGTTGTATGGAGCGCGACGCAGGCAACCGAGGACGTCGCCACTGGCGTCCGAATGCCACTAGTCACGATCAAATGAACATAATGGACCCGCCGGAGAGATCGTCAAAAGAAGAATACGGGGGCCAATTATTTATTTCCATACAATGAGCGTACGGCGCGCGACCGGCGCTCAGGCGCAGTGCAGAGACGCTCCCAAACCGAGCATCGTGGGCCACCCGCGCAATCCCACACACTGATTAGCTGCACATGTTTCTACATACACACGGAAATTGTATATTTAAATGCAATAAAAATCACCGGGGTCGTTGTCCTAATTGGATCGTATTACTGGTGGGTAATCGTATTTTAGATACATTTTAAATTTTAACTAATCTAGCAACTCTAAAATTTTCCTGTTCGGATTGCGCATCGTAATATTATGAAAATGTAGTGTACGTATCATATTTCTCAAGGAAGTTTTTATTTTGAGCGCCTATTCGAGGAATTCTTAGGTCAAAGAGTAATTCATAATACAGTGCCGCTAATTGATGGCTAATTAAAGCTATTAAAAATGTGAAGATTTTAACATGATTTGTCACAGAGCCTCATCATAATTGCCTCTATTAATTCTCTTTAAATGACAGTTTTTAAGTGTTATGAAATTATAAACTAAATAAACATTATTTCTAAATTTGTATCTATACATATAGTCTCTAACGAAAAACATGCGATGTAACACAGTCACAGGAAATTAATTTCAGTTTTAAGGCCCGAAGTAGAATAAAACTCTGATATTGCACAATCCATAACCAAAGTAAATGCATGTAAAAGGAAAAAACTTTGTTCCAATGAGTACAACAGATATGTCGTACCAACGAGCTATTAGTAAAGTAGGTGCGTTGGCATAATTGTCAATATTATTTCTGTAGCATGATTCTTATAGGTATATTTTATTAGGACTCATGCATATTATTAGAAACATGTCTTGTGTAAATCAGCCCTTATAAGCGATAAGGAGTGTTCATGATATAAGACACGTAGGCGACGCCGCGACGGTCACAGTTAGATACAAGTGCCTAAACAAATAATATCCGAAACTTGTAGTTTGGCCACAACCAATATAGTTGGACATGGAGTGTTTACTTATACCCATCCAATGCTGCCATATTTCGTATCATCGAACGCATTGAAACGATAAAAATTCTATTATGGAATTCTCCTAAAAAATGATCGATAGATCGACCATTTAATTTAGCAAAATAGATAGAATTTATTACAGAAACACTATGCAACTGTAGTTTTTTCATATTAAATACTTTCATTGTTCGTTGTCATGAATTAATATAAAATATTTACATACAATCTTATAGGGATATTAAAACACAAATTGCCAAATGTTTTATAAATTAGCTTTTTTGTATTTGTTTTCATTTTAGCAAGGATCGGTGGTTGTACGCTAACTGAAGCTCATAGACATCGCATTATGAATACCATCATCCATCTTAAGACTTGAGGTCTAAGACTTACCGGCTACCTAATTTATTGAACTCACAACGAAGTATACACAAACCAAAACATCAGATGGCGCTTTGAGTATAATACCGGACACTATAAAAATAGAGAGCCAAAGAATTCCATCGACCGAACCTATAAGTGTAATTATCACAAATTTAAGTTCAAATTATATTTTAGTGTGGAATTTCATTTATAAATTTTTCCATTCCTAATCCATGAAACCTAATCTTTCATTTTGGTGTTAGTTGTTACCCAATAACAATATTTCTGAATAAATAAAAACGTTCTAAGCAATATGAATACTGTTTTAAAAACGTATGAATACAATAGGTTTTAGGAAAATTATAGTTACGTGTCGCTTAATAAAATATTATCTTCGTACAAGTAAACTACCACTTCTAACTTCGTACAATATACATTTAATTTATCAACACTATTTATAATTGATAACCATGTTCCACATGTTGTATATACTCCGTAAACGGAATTCAGCAAATAGTGGAAAGTTTCTTGACCACTTAAATCCCTGTAATCTTTAGATTAACGATTTAGTGGAATTTTTTATTCGTTCACAGCTACTTCGAATGAAACTGTTATTGAGGTATTAAACATGATTTGTTTACGTTTTTTTTTCTTTATTACGTTGCCTTGAAAAAGTATTAAAATTTGAGGATATCTAAATTATATTCCTATCATTGTCCCAATTCACTAATACTTCGATAGAAGCACGTGCCAAAATTTACGATAAAAGCTCGTAAATTATTCGCGTCACCCTTATCACTTTTAACGGCATAGTATTAAAAATGTAAATAACTTATTGGCTTCATTTTGCGTATTTGAATAATTGTTGTTTTGTATTACTGAAACTGATAACATAATTATTAAAAATGTTGTAATTTAGCCACGAATAAGCTTGTGTGACTAATTTTTTAATAGTTGTGACCGCGACTTCGTTCGTATGACGTGTATGCCCATTCCATGAGAATTTTTATTTTAACTGTCTTAGTAAAAGTAAATGTTAATATATAGAGAGGCTAAACAATAATTTTTATTTTATTTTATTGCTTAGATGGGTGGACGAGCTCACAGCCCACCTGGTGATAAGTGGTTACTGGAGCCCATAGACATTTACAACGTAAATGCGCCACCCACCTTGAGATATAAGTTCTAAGGTGTTAGTATAGTTACAACGGCTGCCCCACCCTTCAAGCCGAAACGCATTACTGCTTCACGGCAGAAATAGGCGGGGTGGTGGTGGCATCTACTCGTGCGGACTCACAAGAGGTCCTACCACCAGAAAAAAATATTTATGTATCAATCAATATCATTGTGTACAGAGGTATTCCTTATAAACAATGTTATTAGAATTACTTTTCTGATGGCATGGCTCATCACATTAACGCTATAAAAACGGGCGGCGTTGCGTATTTGGAATTTTTGTTGAACATATTTTTTTTTCTGAATAAAAACCTCAATATGGGCCCTTTTTCGCGGCTTCATCAATATA